ACAGATTAATTGCTGGCACCTGCAGCTCACGGGTCCGTTAAAATCACGCTGAATTCACAAGCTGCCTCCCACGCAGGGCTCTCATGGGGCTGCACGAGGGCAGGACGCCAAGGGCCTGGGGGAAACACTCCCCCGGGACAGCAGCAACGGTGCCAACCTGCTGCTCCTCCGCAGCCAGGCTCCCCGGCAGCTCACACCTCTCCTCCAGATGCTAGTGCTGCCGCCAAGCCCTGCTGGGAGGGCGATCCACTTTGTGCCACAGGGAAAGCCGCGATGGGCGACACCGGCAAAGCCGGTCCCGAGGAGCAGGGTGACCCGTGTGCAGCTCTCCGAGACGTCCCCATGCAGCAGGCGGCCTGCAGCAACCTTTCCATCCCTCCTCAATCCTCRGCAAGCCTGGCTTCGTTGGACAGAGGCGACGCAGATGCAAGCCACCTCGGCCAAGGCTCCCGCTAGGCTTGGCAATGAATGCACAAGTCGGAGCGGCAGCTCCAGGGGTCCAGGCAGGGCTGGATGGTTCCCAGGGGAGGCTCCACGGAGGCTCCCTGGCCACCCCTCGCAGCCCGCACGCTGCTGCTCAGGCTCGGCCTTGCCTGACGCTCCCTCTGCCTGGGAGCCCTGCCTGCCCGCTCCCTGCTCCRCCGTGCCCATCACAGCAGCAAAGTCATTCCCACAAAGCAGCCGAGGCTCCGGGCCGGCCACCCCACGTAGATGTTTCGACGTGGACCGGACTGAAAGCCCTTTCACTTCCTTGTTGCTCCATGGGACAGTCTCAGATCCTGTCAGAGGTTCAACTGAATGACCACAACCTGCAGCAGGGCTGCAGCACCTTCTCCATCTCTGCTCCCCTTCTTGGCCAATGATTCCTAAGAAGTCTTGAGGAACGACAAGAACCAAGCCAGCACTGACCAAAAATAACACAGATYGGCACGTCACTTGAAGGAGCATAAAGAAAGAAAAAGGAGATGGTGGCTAATACCCCACTGCATGAAGCTCAGCTGTCTCCGAGTCTCACTCTAGCAAATCCATTGCCATTAAAAAGCTATTTCCAGCAAYACCCACAGCATCTTGAGCTCTTCCCAGCTCCCAAACCGGCTTCCTCAATGTGTTCACAAGGCCCTCTCACCTTCTGGAGGCAGCAGAGTTATTAGAAGGGAGCTATCTTTGCTCGTTGGAAGCATCGTCTACGCAGCGCAGCACGCTGCCTTTCACACCCTGCTCCTCTAATTATCCTTTTAATTTGTTTCCTCTTATTTTTACGTACCTCCCACTCCTCCCCCGCAGCAGACTRCAACTCGCCTTGCGGTGTCTCCTGCTCATCGCTCCCCGCAGAGCGGCCGCTGTGTGGCCCTGGCAGGGCTGAATCGCTGTCGCCTGCTCTTGCCAACCTTGTTATTACGTAAGGTTTAGTAATGAGGACAGGAGCAGGAAGAAGAGGCAGCACACAGCAGTCAGGGCTCAAATGCTGGCTCKGGGACACGTCACCCTCAGGTGAGGCCCCCAGTTGAGCCCTGCAACCCTTCCAGGGTCTGAATGCTCCCCTGCAGATCACAACTACCTGCCACACGCTGCTCCTTCTGGCTCCGACCAAAACCTGCCTCTCCCGTCCCGCACGTCAGTGGAGCAGCAACAACTTGCAGCACTTTCTCCTCTAGCACGTCACAGGGTTAAGCCAGGGACAACCTTCCAAACCTTCGCCCCTCAGTTGTCCCAGGGAAAGCGCACGCGGGCTCGCCAGGTCTCCCGCAGCAGCGTGCAGCATGTTTGCACCAAGGGTGCCGCCTTGACAGCAAAGTTGATTTATTTACATACGTATTTATTCATTTCTACTTGCTTGACGCTCTTCGCCGCCGCTCCAGGGACATTTACATAATCAGATCATGCACAGCTAGATGGAAGCTGTGCGGCCGAGCGGCCCCGAACGCACTCGTTCCTGCTGCAGAGAGCAAAGCAAAGCCTTCCTGGGAGAGCAGCTCCTCGGGCCACCCCATCCCAGCGCCGCGAGCAGCTGGCCACCAAGGGCAGAGAGGGTGGCAGTGCGCAGACACACCGCCAGCCACAGACTCACGGTGGCCACACAAAGCAGCAGGCACGAGCCCGTCCACGGCACGATCTCCTTGACGGATGAGCCGGGCAGCCCGTCTTCACGTGATGCTCGTCGCCAGCAGGTGAAGGCACAGACATGAGCCATGGGGTGGCCTTCAACAGCCAAGCTCTGCTCACCGTGCACGCATGAGAAAGAAGGCCTGGCACAGCTCGCTCCTGTGCCCTCCCRCCTCCGGGCTGTCTTCCGCTTCGCCTGGGCTGGAAGGGAGCGAATTAGCGCACGGACGGCAGCACCACTCGCACCAGTGCCCAGCGCTGCCCGTGTTGTGACCAGGGGCACCGTGCAGAAAAGGAGCATCCACAGGCTGGGACAAGCTCGGTGCTCCTGGCTGCGATCTCTCCGGTCAAAAGGACTTGTGCAAGGATGATTTGCTTTCTCCTGCAAAGGACTACAGGCCTGGTAAAAGCATCTCGTGCTCACTTGCGACTGGCAGCCCTGAGATGCCTACAGGAGTTCACGTGGATTCAGGAAGACTGTATTTTCACCTATAGCCAGGAAATGGCTTGATTCAATGTGCTTTTCTTTTGCAATGCTTAATATTTAAAAAAGGCAGATTTGGTCTTCTTCTATTGCCTCAAACAGGACACTGCCTACCATGCTCTTCACAGCAGTTCATAACAGTCTGGGGCACTCCACCATGCTAAAGAGAAGATAAACTGAGRCACACAGTATTCATGTTCAAAAATACACTCCAAATATTCAAAAACTGTCTGGACACAACCCTGGGCAACGTGCTCGAAGTGACACTGCTTGAGCAGGGGAGCTGGACTAGATAATCTCCAGGTCCCTTCCAACCTCAACCATTCTGTGAGTTAATGAAAATGGGACAGTKTCCAACTGGGTCTTCCAAATCCATATCCATCACCACTTCCCTCCGCCTAACACATCAGGCTGAACTACAGCCCTTCTAGGAAAACACYGTAACAGAAAATGACTAATCACAACGGGTAGTGATTAGTCACTGCCACTGCGTAGCCGGGAGCACCAGGCCACCACGAGAGTATGCAGGGTTAGGTTGCAAGAGTCTCTCTTGCTCCCATGATTTTGCTCACTGCTCCTTCCCCTCCTGCCCTACAAATCAGTCCTTCAGGGCACCTGCCCCAGTCTCTCTGAGTACTTTGGTCTTGATCCTGCCTCTCTTCCCACAGCATCTTACTTCTCAGGATCCTCATCCCAAAGTCCCAAGGTCCCATCAGAAAGCAGAAAGGCAAAATCGCCGCCCCAGATCTGTCCTTCTAATTCCATCCTGCCTTCTCACACATTACCTCTTTTCTCTTTTGACATCTCCTCAAGAAGCTTAGCCATGAGCTGAAGTGAAAAAGCAGACACTGTTAAAACAGATCTCTCTGACATCCACCTCAGATTTCTTAGTTTGTCTGCTTTGGGCCCGGCCAAATCACGCTGAATTCCTGCCATTTCTTCCCTGCACAACACAGTGCAGTGATGTTTCCTACCACCCAGACGAACCCGTGCTCAGGCTCCTACCAGCTCACGTTGCAACCACCACATCTTGCTCAGCCCGGGCAGGGCTAGTATTGCCCTGCTTGTCCCTATCCAAAAGGTTGCTGAAGAAGTCCTCTGCCTCAGCAGTCTCCTGGCCATGCTGCCTTTTCTACAGCCCTCCACGAACTCCTCCTCTGTCGATGCTATCGAACCTGCAGAGCCCACAGGGCTCTAGCAGAGCCCTCTCCCGTGGCACCGAGGGCCAGTCGGGGCCTCGCGCCACACGCAGCACCACGCCGTCCTCACTCGGAAAACTCTCAGGAACTCCGCGCGGGGAGAGCTCAGCACGGAGAGCCTCACCCGCAGAGCCCCGGCTCCAGAAAGCCTCTTGTCCAGTAACGACAGAATGCAGCCCCTCGAGGCCGCAGTGCCGGGCAGCCCTCGGCCGCGACGCAGCGCCCGGCAGAGCTGCCTGCTGCTCATTACCTGCCTTACTAGGTGCTTCCTCCGCCGCTGATGCTAGAAGCCAGGCTGGCTGCAAAAAGAGGCTAATGAGCACCCCTGGGCTACCGGCATGAGGCCACGAGGAGGAATTTTTTTTTTTCTTTAAACACATCTTTAAAACAACACATTAGCTTTCGCTTTGGGGGAGAGATGGCTCYGCTCACGGGTCCCTGAGCTCTGCTGTCATTTAGCATATATTATTCCAGCTCTGACAGGCTGCTTTTTTTTTTCTGCTTTAAATATTTAATTTAGGTTTGCCCACAGCACTCAGGCCACTCTTCCCCTCCCCTACRGTGCCCAGGGAACACAATAGTTCCCCCCAGAAGGACACTGTCCCGGATGGGGGCAGATCCACCCCTCACTCCTGTCTGGGGACGTCGCTGGCAGAGAAACTCAGAAGCAACGTGACGGGGCAGGGAGCAGCGGCGAGCGGCTGCCACGCGCTGGGCGACCGACAGGAGCCCAGCCCCTGGGTGCACCCGGCAGCTCTCAGACACCGCGGGCGACTCCCCGGCTTGCACAAAGCAACGGGAGCGCTGCAGGGATCTCAAGGAAACCGGGCACAACCTGGGACGTGCCATGTGAGCCCACAGCGGGAAAGGCGCCGGCCGGAAGGCAGCGTGGAGAAGCCCGTTACGCCCCGAGCTGCTGCTCTGCTGGAGGGGGACGTTTCGGGGGGTCATGCCCAGCAAGGAGGGCACAGGCCAAGCGGCTCGCGGGCGACAGAAGCGGGTCCCCTCCCAGCACCACATCCTGCAGCTCGGACGCCCATGCCAGCCACTCGGTGCCCTGTCCGAGCCGCCCTGCACGAGCGCCGCCGCGTGCTCTGCTCCCAGAGCCGGCACAGGGAGGAGCCGGGACGCGGGGCAGGAGAGCAGGGACAGGAGAAGGGAGAGGCGGCACCCGCGGTGGGCGCGAGCAGCCCCGCGGCGCGCTCAGCACTTACGTTGATCATAGCATTGGAGGTGATGCGGAAGAGCGTGGCTCGCTCGTTGACCGCCTTGAGCTTCTCGCCGCTCTCGGCGGGCAGCTTCAGGTTCTCCAGCTCGCTGAGCGAGCGCTGCAGGGCCGCCCCGTGCTTCGCTATGAGCTCATTGCAAGTGCTCAGGTCCTCCAGCTTGCTCGAGAGCGTTTTCAGCGTGCCGTGCAGCTCGCCCTTGTCAGACTGCGAGGCGGGCTCCTCGTCGCCCGAGTCATCTGCAAAGGGGGGGATGGAGAAAACACCGTTGCCATGGCTACCCCCGGACTGCGCGGCCGACATCTCCTCCTCCTCCTCCTCCTCGGTGCCCTCCCCGCTCCCCGAGCGGCCCGAGGGCGCCCGGCGCCCTCCCCAGCGCTGGCGACGTGCCCGCCCGAGGCAGCCCCGAGGGCACGTGAGGGGCCACCAGTGCCACAGGCTGGGCTTGGGGCAGCCCCCGAGGGCACGTGAGGGGCCACCACAGGCCGGGCTTGGCAGCCCCTCTCCAAACCTCCCGCGTCCCCACTGTGACAAGGGAGCAGCTCTGGCACCGGCTGTTTTCCGAAACCTCAGCACCTCGAGAGGGCGTGGACATCTCTCCTCTCCATCAGTGTCCCCCCATCACAGCCCCAGTGGTGGGACCACAGCGCCGGGGAGCCCAGAGTGGCCAGAGAAGGTCCTCAACCACCGCCACAYAGAAAACTCCCAGTTTAGGATATGCAAAAGGGGCAAGACGAGCTGCCATGCAGTGGGAAGGGTCAGGGCATGTCCATGTGCAAGGGGGACGGTTATCCCTGCGGCTTCTGGGCGCTCGGGTGACTTAAAAGCCCCAAACCAAAAGCCTCAGCCAAAGCTGAGGGGCAAGCGTGACACTGCGGATGTCCTACACCGTGTCACAGCAGGCAGGTGGCACAAGGGAAAGGCTCTGAGACGAGGCACTGCCTGGAGCATCGGGTACAACAGGCGAGCGTGGAGCGGGCCCAGGGCTGCACTCATCTGCCCGGGGACACCGGCCGTGCTTGCTGTGACCTCCCCAGAGACCTTGTCCCCCAGGATGGGACACAGGGACGAGAACCCCRCAAACGAACATGCGGTGAGAGGAGCTAAGCTCCAAAGCCCGCGTGGCACCGGGCTCCCACGGACACCACTGCAAAGCRAACGTCCACCCACGTGGGCACCCAACCCACGGGCGAGAAAAGCCGCAGTGAYGAGGGGACGTTCAAAGGTGGCTGCATCATGCTGGGTGCAATCAAAAGCCACCGAGGCTGCGCAGTGCGCAACAGTCCCTTCGTTTCCCCTCCCTTAGTCCTCYGGTTCGTGGGTTATAAAGAGACAGGAACAAGCAAAACTTGCCTCCAGGGCCGAACCAGACAAGAAATCACCTACTGAAAGCCAAGGTGAGTCTCTACTGCCAAAGATCAACTGTAAGAAAAGGGCCCGGTCCTGAAATCTGGGTATCTGGTGCTTGGGGGCAGACAGGGYGGGGAAGGCACTGCAGGTTCCTCAGCCACATCACCTCGACTCCACCACGCTAGCAGKTCTGGGCAGCAGCAGATCCACAGGCTCAACCGCCACTGCCATCCAAGAGGTYCAACACATCACAACAGCCACAGACCCATTCTGGTCACCCTGTCTCCACGAGGTGCAAATCTAACAGAAGTATCTCCAACCAACAGGACCCCCAGTGACTCCTTCGTGTCACCCCAGTGGCTTCTTCAGGGGGGCTGGAAGAGCAAGGTAGGACGAGGATGTCCACTCAAAACGACAGAGACACCATGAAGCTGCGAAGACGCACCCCGGAGGTGCCGCAGTGCTTTTCAGCGCTGCGATGCAAAGCGAGCAGCCCATACCTAGCCGACACATGAGTACATTTAACTCTGAGTTCATTTATGAAACCTTTCAAAACGTTGTATTAAGAGGTATGTTCAGGCATCACTCCATGTACATACATTGACTGTACAGGTCTTGGCTCAGCTAAGGGAACYGGAAGGGAAAGAGCTCTCTTCGTTTAGCAGTACTGAAGATGCGCTTCTCCTACAAGAATCAGAGCGATCTGGATGATACAAAAACACAGTCAACTGGGAGAGTCAAAGCAGTGGCAGAGCAGAGCATGGTGCTACAGTCTGGAGCATGCTGGAGACGCACAGTTCACAGSCAGAGGGGCAAGCAAGTCCAATAAATCCCCTGTGATCAGAGCAGCTCCTGTGCCAAGGTGCAATAAGCCCATCAGCTGCAGCCAGTTCTGCAGCAACGGGCACCAGCTCCTCCAGCACCTGCAGGATGGAAGCACAACAGGCACATCAGCCAAACGAGGTAGTTCTGGTCTTGGTCACCCCAGCTGCCCTGTGTTGCAGAGTTCATCTAATCCTCTGGAATGTGGACAGTGTCCATGGAGAGGCTTCCTGAGCACCTGGTGGGTCTAATGGGCTCCCAGAGGGACCACAAAGGGACAGAGTCCAAACAAGAACGGCCGAGTGTGAAGGCCCAGCAGAGAAACCAAGCACTAGGTGGCTCAGAAGCCACCAAAGAAACCACCGCAGGAGGTCAACGGCAACCAGGAGAAACCCAGGCATACAAGATGGGATGTGGGGAAGGGATGGCACCATGGGGGACAAGGTACCAGCAGCACTGGGAAAACCAAACACCCTGGTGAACCAGAGCCAGGCTATGATGCTACTTGGAGCAGGCACAGTAGGAATGGGATGCACAGCCCAGAGCCAAGACTTACTCCACATTCCCAGCTGCTTAAGAAAGATGGGAGAACACAATAAAAAAAGCCCTGTTGGTAAAAGGGGCATGGAGTGAAATGCWTGAACATCTCACAAAGGAAAGCACCGGGGCAGGACCTCCCTACAAAACCATTTCCTCTGTCCACAATCCATCCCTGGGTCCCCACAGAGCACAAACTTCTGATCAAMACCTAAAGCGGTTAGAAAAAGCCAGCGGGTAAAGTGGTTTGTGGGCATCAGGGACAAGTTCAATACATAAATAAACCCCCAGCCAGTGCGAGCGTCCACAGGAAGCAAGCGGAGACCCAGCTGCCCAGGGAGACGAGGGTCTGGGAGCAGCCTGCTCCCACCACAGGGCTGAGGGGCCCTGAAGCTGCCCAGGGGAACGGCTACGGTCCGGTGGCAAGACCAGCACTTTGGAAACATTCAGTGCAGGGAAGGCCTCGGGCTTGGAGGAAGGAGACGTGTTAAGGGAAGAGAGAAAGGAAGGTGCAGAATTCAAAGGGCACCGGGAGGGTGCACAGAGGTTCACGTCATGGGCACGGGTTTATGTCGCAGGCATGCTATAGCACAAACTTCAGGATATCCAGCAAGAAAATTTAAGCCATTTTCTGCCTCTAAGGACACTCAGTGCGGCCTCCCGAAGCTCCCAGTTCTGTTTCAAGTGTCTAAGGAGCCTTGCAGGCAACGTCCCTCTGAGTCACTGGCACCACCCGTGCCCCGGGGCACTCGGACACTGACTGCTGCTTCGGGATGCCCATCCCGTTTCCTGCCCAGCTGGGCTCGCAGGGCCCCGGGACAGCACCTACGGGCACAGCCACGTCATGGGCAGACCTGTTCTCCAGCAGGGCCCGGCTCCGATCCAGGGAGCTTCAGTCCCGCACTGACAGCAGCCGGAGCATCCTAGGCTCCAGCTGCTGCAGCAGAACACAGTCAGCTCCATCCAAGCCTGGCTTTYGCCTCCAGCTAGTCTGAAGGAAGCCGTGCACATCTGGAGCTGCCGGAGACATGGCCTGGGAGAGCTCATCCGTKCCCGAGCAATGCCTGGGCTCTGCTCAGGGGCTGCTGCAGGGGACACAGCACAAGGGCCAAATCCTGAGAAGGGGCAGCCTTCCCGCGGTGCAGGGAGTGCATTAGCATGGCTGTTTTCCCCCAAAACATGGATCCAAAAGCTCACAAGAACACTGTRTCTTCCCAAACGGAAAAGAGAACCTCCCAACGTAGCAGAAAACTGGCCCTAGGAGATGCCTCTCCGGGTACAAAGGCCACAGATGTGCCACCACACTGCTGCGGCACTGCCCGGATCCTGCCCTCAGCCCCAGTGCCACCAACAGCGCAAAGCGCCGAGCACGGCCACGCAYCCCGAGGGCAGCTCCAAGGGGTGCGGATGGAGGAGGCAGCATTCCCGGGATGGAGGCGGCATTCCCGCAGGAGCACCCAGCCCGGCCCAGCTCCACGTGCCTTTGGAGAGCTCCCTCGCTGGCCGCAGTGGCCCCGTCCGGGCGCATCCCGGCGGCGCTGCCCCTCCTCAAACGAGCTGCTGGCACGAGCGCCTCTGCTGAGTGGTGACCTGCTCACCGGGGAATCCAGGCATTAGGRGCTAAAGGGTGTTTCATAAAACTAGCAGAAGCAGCAAACACGAAAATTTACTCCCAGAGAAGCCAGTCGCCCTGGTTTGGTTTTCATCACACACACCAGCCAGGCAAGCACCACAGTGTCAAAAAATGCCATTATCTCTGGGTTACTTAAGGTGAAGGACCCAATCTGAGCTTTTTCTGTCTCCTTGCAGGAGAAAGAGACCCTGGCAATACTTCCCTGGCCCAACCTTGCCTGTTTGCAGCAACCGCACTGCAGGACGGAATCCCGGCTCCCATGGGTGACCCGCGCTCGGCTTGGCAGGGCACGAGCGCTTCCCTGCGGATGGGCAACGGTGAAGCCGAGCCCGGAGGGTCGCCCATCACTGACGCTCCGACACGGGGACAGCTCGGCCGTGCCGCGACAGCGAGGCTGCGTCCGCTGCCGAAAGGCCATTTCCCTCCTCCGCGCCCGCACACGGAGGCTGCTGTAACGAGCCCTCCTCGTGTCCCTGTGCGCTCAGCWAAGCACACCAAACTACACCACAACACGGACCATTTCTTTCTTTTTCATCCTTTTTTTTTTTCTGTCTTTTTAAACCACTGTGCAGAATTATATAAATGCCCCAAAACCCATTGAAAAGAGTCCCCTTCTTGCAAAGAGAAGACATCTGGGTCGGACCACGGCAGTGGGGACACTGTCCTTTCATGCCGAGTCAGGGCAGGCGCACGTTCCTGGGTGGAAGCTGGTTCAGAAGACTATTCCTTTTCTTCTCTCTTATATAACACTGGCAAATACCAAAGCTCAGTGAGACCCCGCTCGAATCTGTGGCCTCAGAGGTCGCCCATCAACACCCAGCTTGGAGGGAAATCACACGCGCCTGCCTACCCGCTTGCCCCAGAGCTAGTGCCAGGGGATGCAGGTAGCGGGACGCC